CCCCCCCGTCATACTCAAGGGCAGACTGGCCCACAGTGGGTGGTGGTCATATCTGATCAGGGTGTGAGTGTGTTTGCTGTAGTCAAAATGTCACCAGGAACTGGTTCAAGAACCCTGGTCAGGAGGTACACTGAAGTCCTTGCTGGGCAGACAGCTAATTCTAGGTTGATTTTTTTTTTTTCCCCAGTATTTTAGAGCAGTATAATTTAGTTAAGTCTCTTACCTTTCTTGTTTCTCCTCTGTTTTCATACACAAGCTCTTTCTTCAAGAAACAGTAGTCCCTGAGCTCACAGCTGGATTATTAGTTTCTGTTCATCCTCCTTTAGCATTTAAATTCAGCTGTTCTTGAACTACCCGTGGCAGATTGGGGACTTCCTGTGCTAAGTGGAAGTTTACTTTCTACTTCTTTGTGTGCATGGAATTTCTTCTTTAAAAGAAGTAATATCTGCAAACTTCAACTTGAAACCAGAACCAGAAATGGGTTTTGTCATAGACTGGGGGAAGTTCCTAAAGGCCACCTTCAGTACACGTGGGACTGGAAGCTCATTTGCCTACTCCTTCCTCATGTGGTAGGCTTCTGTTTCATGGAAATCTAGAACGCGTGGGTTATGTAGAGAGATTTCTATAACCATTACTGATGGACCACCAAGTTTTTAGGGCCATTATAGTTGCATCGTTTACCAAATATGCGAGGTAGTCATGTTCAGTGTATTTTTTGTGGTGAAATAAAGTGAGCTGGCTTGGTGGCCAGAGTTGTTTGTGTTTGTTTTCACTCCATTTTTCAAGCAGAAATGCAGTTTTCAGTAAGGTGTTGTAGTGTTTTACAGTAATAACTTATTTTTTACAGCAGGTGAGAGTGGGGATGGATATAAAGGGCTATGTCAATACTTCCGAATTTAACAGCACTAGGGTCCCTTTCTTTGTCCTGAGGATAAGAGGCATAGCTCAACTCAGATGGCAAAATCCTCTGTCCTGCCCTTCCTCTGCAGGCTTGCCTCTTCCACGTTGCCTATTGGGAACAGCCTGTGCGCTGGGTTATTTGCTGAGCCGTGCCCAGGCACTGCATGGGAGAGGGCTGGGTGTTGTGGACCGGGAGGTGTGTTAGCCGTGGAACAGACAGTCATGGGCAGGGCCAGCGCCCTGGCTCTCTTTGGGCCACGGCTGAGGAAAAGTCCTAAAATCCTGAGGTCCCCAAGGGTGAGCAGTGTGGAAGAGACGACAGCACTGAGGCAGAAGCTGAGGGTTGAGGACAGAGGATGTAATATTGGCAGTAATGTTTGCCGCAGGCTGCGGTGGTGAGCCTGCTTAAGGTGCGGGGCTTTTGTTTGGTTTTGTATGTTTTTAAGTCTTGTGCCATACATAGACTAAGACCAGGAATTGAAAAAGTGCGCAAGTGGCTTAAAGCTGGCATAACTTCTCTACTGCAGAATGTGTGCTAAGCCGCTTAGATAGGGGCTTCCCATAGGCTATTGCTAAGTATGAGTATGTTTCTGATAAGACTTTAGCTTAGTACAGCTGGATTGGCTTTTGCTTCATTTCTGTTTCACTATTTAGAGAATTCTCCGCTTCTCCTTTCAATTCCCTCCTGGATCTGTAATTCATGCTGCTGGGGTTGATCACATGTCATGTTACTGTGGGCAGTAGCTGTGAAAAATTATGACCCTTCTCATGAGCATCAAAGGAAACAGTGATGAAAAGTAGCCCAAACCAGTACTAGAAAGGGAGAAAAAAAGCAATCCTTGGACGATTTTGGTGACTGCAAGGTGCTGTACCTTCTGTATGAATTTTGGCTTAGTGGACACTTGGCATGCGTGTCTTTTTTCCATGAACAGTAGATGAGAAAGGAAGTATAAGTCTTCCCACCCTACAAACAAATGCCAATGTTTGGGAGGTGGCTGCTCGTATTCCTGTTGTTTTTTTTCAAGAGCCAAACAAGGCTTCCTCAAAAAACTGTCAGCAGCAGCAAAGGCACCACAGTCATTCATCTGGAGACTTGAGGGTACAGCACTTTCTGTTATAGCAGACGATTTTCTCTGTCACTTTTGAAGTTGCAAATAGGATTTTAAAAATAAAAAACATCATACTGCTGTTTCAAAATTTGTGACTTGAGGATTTAATTACATTCTGACATAAAGAATGGAAAATAACACAGTAACGACACACAGGAAGCAAGTTCTGGCAAGATGGGGTCTTCTGTAGGCTGTTGTCTTGTGGTCTTGGTCACATGAGAGTGCTGTTTGACTCACAAATTCTGTTTAAACTGTACATAATTTTTTAATATACCATGAGTATGTCACCTAGCTGCAAAATACATTTAAAGCTTCAATACAACAAGCTTTGGGTGTACTCATTTATTACACATTTTAATTTTTAAGGCTGTGAAAAAAATCTCATGGAATAATGTATGTATTAGTCTAGTCCATTGTTTTAGAAAGTGATATAAGTTTCTTCTAAATGCATGCAGTGTTCTTAAATTATGATGCGGTTCACTTTTATACAAGAACTGTGCGCAATATTTCTTCTTCTAACAACAGTAGCATCTATCACATAGACGCATTCACCTTTCATACACATTCATTCACATTTGTTATTTCAGTTATGATGGGTACTGTGATGAGTTGGATTTTAGATACTATTTTACCTGTGTGATGGCACTAGATAAAAGATTCATTGTACCCTCAGTGAGCAGCAGTTTATAAAACTTATCTCTGCTCATGGAATACTGATACACAGTAAATGCCTTGTGCAGATACAGAAGACTCTATTAATGTTGAGTAGCTAATAGTTCAGCTTTGAAATACCAATTGGACTGGAGAAATAAAAGGTTAAAAAAAAACAATTATGAATTTCAGGTTTAAAGTGCATCATAGAGAGAGTGACTTGGATATTCTTGTTTTGCTTGTTGCTGTTCTCAGATAATGACTTCAGAAACTTCAAACAGACATTTGCTTTCTATGGTTTAGTGCTCATGCCTGATATGCTGGAAACCTAAATAAGATCTACAGTATTTCCTGAGTATGGTACAGTGCTGTGGGATGGTGGAGGTTGCTACTGCACTGGGATGTAGAAGAGGGCAGTGAATGTATGAGAGTTGAAAGGGAGGAGGAGGAGAGGTAGAGGTTTTCTACAAGGGGGAAGAGTTTGTCCAAAGCCATCACCTGTCCCTAATGCCTGCTTGATGTAGAAGATCTCATCAAATTTGCAGATGACACCAAATTGAGGGAGCGGCTGACATGCTTGAAGGCAGGGCTGCTGTTTGGAGGGACCCAGACAGAAACCTCATGAAATCCAGCAAGGGCAAATACCAGTTCTGTCCCTGGGAATGAGGAATTGCTGGCAGACACGCAGGCTGGGGCCTGATGGGTTTGGGAGCAACTCTGCTGAAAAGGACCTGTGGGTCCTGGTGGGCAGCAAGCTAAGCATGAGCCAGGCTTGTACCCTGGCATCAAAGTCAACAGCATCCTGGGCTGCATTAATAGCTTGCAGATTGAGGGAAGTGATAATCCTCCTTTACCTGTCACTCGTTAGTCCATGTCCAGAATACAGCATCCCATTTGGTGGATGGGATGTGGATTTTGTGTAAAAGACAGACATTGATAAACTGGAACAAGTTCTGTGGCTGTGGGAGCTGGAGCACATGCCCCATGAGGACATGCTGAGGGAGGTGGGCTTGTTCAGCCTGGAGAAAAAACGGCTTTGGGGGGGCCTTCCAATATGTACAAGGAGGGTATGCAGAAGACAGAGCCAGGCCCTTCACATTGGTGCCCGGTGGGGAGGACAGGCGAAAGCAGATGGGACTGGAAAAGAAAGTTTCAGGCTGGGTATAAGGAAAATTTTTGTTACTATAAGGGCACTCAAGCAGTGGAGCAGGTTGCTCATGAGCTTGTGGAGTCTGTGCTTGGAGGTTTTCAAGACCCAACTGGGCAAACAGCCTTGATCAGCCTGGTCTGACCCTGGAGGTGGCCCTGCTTTGAGCCGGAGTTTGGAGTAGAGACCTCCAGAGGTCCCTCCAGCCCAAGTGGCTCTGCAGTCCTGACCTAGGACAATGCTTGGAGCCAAAACTGAACTTTTTTTTTTTCCTTATTTTTTGGTATATGGTTATAAGCAAATGGTTTAGCCTCTTTAGTGTGTCAGTTATCCGTCTATAAAGTTGAAGTAATGCTACCTGTCTACCTCAGTGGTGTTTCAAGGTAAGATCTGTGAAAGGCTGCGATATTTTGGATGCTTTGGCAAAGTAGTCGTAGACAACGAAGCAGTTAGGCCTTTCAAGTCTGCCTAAGAAGCCGATAGAGAGGTATTGTGCATCTTCTCAAGCACTAACTGTGAACCCTTGGGAAGCTGTTTTCTGTGGGTTTACTTTCATGAAACTCTACCATATATATTTTCTCTGTGTGCTGCTGAAGAAGTCAATCACCTTAAAAGGTAGTCAGATGCAAAATGTGTTAGTGTTTAGCAACAGCTCTGACAGCAGGCTCTCTATATGCTTCTGCCAGTTGTGGTAACGTTTGTCATATTTTCCTAGTTCATTTTTTTCTTCCTGCTATGGTGGTTGTTTCTCTGGGCTTCTTGACAGAGGGGAAGCAGACTCAGCTGCCTTCACATCAGGAGCACTGTACCCGGTTCTGCCCTCTGTGTCAAATGCGTAGCTAATAGATAATAAACTGAAAAGTCTTCCCCCTGCCATCCCCTCACCTTTCAGCTTTGGTGATCTTTAGTAAGAGATTTGCAAAGCTGTCCTACAATTTTCACACATAAATAAGGAATTAACCTCTTTTAAAAAGAATAAAAAATAGTATCCATTGAAAGAGTTACTGAAAATTACTTTCATTTTGTGGCATTTCGACTTATAAAGAGTCTTTGAGGTAGCATTAGAATAGGCAGGGGTGTGTACACAAGTTTTGAGAAATCTTGGGAGCTTGAGATTTAGTATATTCTGTAATACCTTTTTTTAACTGTTTCTTCTTTTTCTTTTCCCTCTCCACCTGCCTTTTCTTCTGCAGGAAATAAAGAAGGACATGAAGAAAGAAAATACTGCCAACAAACCACCAGAGAAGCCTATAAATGAAGTTTCCAATGGAAGCCCTTTACTGTTGTCTGAGACAATTATTAGAACCAACAAAAAAGGTATAGTATATGGAAGCTTAAATGCAGATTAAATTCAGATCTTTAAGGGAACAAAATATAAACCTTCCTTGTTTCTAGAAATAAAGTTAGAGTCTATTGAACTGTAAAGGCATAGCAGGAATAGTTAAAAAAAAAGAAATCTCATTGTCCTTTTAGACTCGCGTATGGATGCATGTATTGTGTCTAATATTTCCACATTAATTTGCACAGACATCCCTTTCTTCTTAAAGAAATCCTTCCTAGATACATTTAATTAAGGAAAGCTGTATGAGGAGCTTACTAAAGCTTATTAAAGTAAGGAACTGACAGCTTGCATATATGGAGGTTTTTGCACAGCGATGTCAGTCCACATTCTTGTATTCATGTTCTATCTGGGACAGAGACTGGTTACTGACAGAGAACTTTAAAAAAAAAAAAAAGGAAAACATAAAGCTTAACGCATTAGTTTCCTGGGAAGCGTCTATCACTATCTTCTGTTTCAGACTGGAATATGTGCTCTTCATGTCTGGCTTGATTCCAAATGCAGACTCCTATGTAGGGTTTTGAGTTGCTAAAATGAAAGCCTCGAGATCTTCTGTCTCTTTCCCTATCTCCCAGTCTTGCTCTCAGAAATATCAGAACAAAACAAAAAATTGGCAATATAAAAGCTGGATTTCTCTTTAGGTTATGTTTATGCTCCCATTTGCTTGTGGGAGGACAATTGGCTGTGTGCAAGAGATGGGCTGTATTTTTTCCTGATGAATTCACTGGATGGTTTCTTGCTTGCTGTCTTATACAGAATAATCTGCTGTTGTTAATCATTGCTGTAATGTAATTTCCATTTTGGCATGTCTTCTATACTGTTAGGACTATGCATATGGAAATTTCCTCTTCCATGTTATCAGTGAATATTGTATTTGAGCTACAGTTTGACTAGAGGCCCTAAACCTAAGGTTTGCAACTGCAAGCAAGGAAGTTTTAATAATTTCTGCAATGCAAGGGGGGGTAATCTTCACCTCTTTTGCAAGGATTGATGTCCTCTGAAACAAAAAATTGGAAATAAATCTCAGAAAGCTTTGTCTTTTGAGTTTGCAATGTCATCTTGAATCTGAAGACACGTCCAACATTTCTGCTTTAGGTCATAGGTTTTTCAAGCAACAGCAGAATTAAATTACCAAGAATTATTCTTTTTCATGGCTGCTATACAGAACTGTGTGAGTAGTTGGGAAATTATCTGGGGACCAAGTCTGTTCCATATTGCTTCAGCTGCTATTTGGAGAAGGCTAATAGCTGTGGCAGATGCAGAGATTCGGTTCAGTCACAAGGGGATAACACTCCAAATATGATACTTAGAGCACAGGCTTTCTCCTCCTCTCTCTTCCCTCTGGCTCAGAAGGTTTAAAGGATTCAGGAGATAAAGAAGTTCTCTTTTTCTGTCTGTAGCTGAAGAATACAAAACCTCATGTTTATTGAAAGGAGAGAGCCAAAGACTGACATGAAGATCTGTAGCTGGAGGAAGGGGTTAGGTTTGGAAATAGCAGATTTCATATTAGGATGTTATTGCATTGGATTTTGTTGGTCGGGAGTGCACTTCTCATGGCTACCCCTACATAGTGTCAGGGTTAGTAAATTTTTCATTTTGGCTGCTTCTCCACAGCCATTTCCACTTTTGCAGAGCAAGCAGTTGCAGTGTGCTGTAATCTAGCAGTACAGCTAAGGATGCACAGAGCAGAACAAGGCAAAGAAAGCTTTCCCTCTTTTTGTCTGGGGTCGGTTTTAGCGCGGTGCCAAAGTATCCTCATTTAAGTGAGGACTGCTAAGCAAGTAGTTACTATTGTGTTCAGGAATAACGAGTCTTCGAAGATCTATGTGGCAAATCTCCTTGCAGAAGGTGTTGCGATATTTTACTGAAAAGGGAGCCCTAAATGCCACAGGGATTATTTTCTTCAAGTGTTCTTGTGCTGTGATTTTTATTAAACCCTACTTCAATGTGTTTACTGATCACAGAATGTGACCTGACCTGAAAGGGGGTATTTGGTTTTTTTTAGTTCTTTCCTTGTTGTTAGGAAGTGAGGAAGAGAGGGATGCATCTAAAGGTCTTTAGCGACCGTTCAGCAGTGAAAATAGTAGGCAGCATTATTTATTTGCTTGGGCAATGTAAACTTGCTGCTTGGAACTTCAGAGCAGATCCAGTCACATGGGAGTGAAGCATTCTGTGCTGATGCATTGTTTCTATTACCAGGATGATGATAAGTGTTCTTCTAGTGCTGTGGTGTTACGTTGCATAGTTTTACTACTTAACTTGGTTGGCCTAATTTAAGTGGCAGCACTTTAGCAGGCATTTACATTTTGAGCAGAAGAATCTTGGCCTTCTGGGCTTCTGGCTTGTAGAGAGTTTTTCCTTGAGGAATATTGACGAGTGTCCAACAGTGGTATTCAAGGAAAATAGCTAAATTATTTGTAAGAAACATCTAAGTAGCTAAGAGGAAAAGAATGGTTTCTGAACAAAAAAGATTTTTAGGATCCAAATTTATATCTTGTTTGTTCATGCTAATTATTTCTAAGTACCGTATTGAAATTAGGGGTTCTTGTAATAAAATCAGTGTAAATTGAAATGCCTCTTGTAAAGGCTTATTTCGTCAAATAAGTAATCGACGTGACTACTTTGGATTGCAGATGTAACCTAGGAACAATTTAAAGTTGGTGTAACGCCACCAGTAGTAGCCTACCTGGGTTAGTACTGCCATTACATAGTGAGGGTGGCAACTGATTATGGTATGATTAGTTGTAGGATGCCATCTGTGAATCATTTGGGTTTTTGTTATAAAGACCAGGAGAAGATATTGAAGGATTTGATTTTGTCTGCTTTTCACTGGGAGCAGTAATAATGGAACATTTCTCATCCTTTAATGTTTCTTGCTGACCACAGATACTAGTGACCTAATGGAAGCAAACGGTAGAAATTATTGCTGTGATGAACATAATTTAGAACACTCTGTTACACTTGGCCTTGGTATATTTGTGAGAGTTAATATTTGTAGGTATTTCCTCTCTTGACAGGGTTGCAAGTATGATCTAGAAGTTAGGGCTACACCTAAGAAATAATGGGTTTATTTTCTAGGTCTGCCACAGAGTTGCTGCCTAACTTTTGCTAAATCACTTAAACTCTGTTGGCCAAATTACCACACTTTAATTTCCAAGGTCAGGTATCTTAATATGTATTGATTTTTCAGATAGGCAGAGGGGTTTTTTTCTGATGGATTGCAGTGGCATATCCAAATTTATTCATAACTTCCAGGTGACTCTGCCTCAGGCTGCCTATTGGCAAACCTGGGTTTATACCTGACTCATAAAGGTGTTGAGATCTGTTCTAGCACGGTAGCGATGGCAATTAACATCTAGGAAACTGAACATTTCAATATAGCATTCCAGTGAGTTCATGCTTCACCTCTGAAAGGCTCAAAAAAGAACGATTTGCTCGAGTGTAGAGATGGGGTTAGGGGAACATGAAGTCCTTGTGCTTTCCCTGACAGTTCCCAGGGCTGCAGCAGCTCTAAGCTGGTTCTGATGGTGCTTCAGGTGCTGCCTCATCAGCCCCCGTCTAGGGAAAAAGGCTGTGGCACTGAATGACCTGTCTGAGGCTCTATGAATGTCAGTTGTGGCTGGCTTGCATACCCTTTGCCAGAACCTGGGAGGGATCATTCTTTTGCTTCTTCCTATAGTTCATATGCCAAGAAAATCCTTTCCTTGCCAGGAGTGGGTCTTAGTATATCTTTTCGCTGCTCCAGAATTTTTGGTTGCATATGAAACTATTGTTCTAAAACTTATGTAAAGCTGACTTAAAAAAAATATAAAAAAAATTATCCTTTTTTCTGTTTAGGATTGGCATTGTTGCACCCTGGTAATAACAGGTTGGGAAATCCTTTTCTTCCCTGAGAACATTTTCAGATTGTTTGAAAAAAGTGAAATTATTGCTATTGTTACTATTATTTAATAACATAAGAAAATTACAGTCAGGTATTGGAGTAGGAAAACACTGAAAGATATCTGTTTTTCTTTTTTTTTCTTAAATGCTTTTCAACATGGTGAAATTCCATCTTTTCTAAGTTAACTTTCAAAATCTAAAACCAGATCCAAAGTTGTGCAGCTGTTTCAGATCTGCCATAAATTCAGTACAATCTTCATCCAGGTGTAAAGGGACTTAATGGAAACTTGCATGCAGTGAGCTTCACCGTTAAATGGCAATGGCTTATTTTAGGACAGTTTTGCTCTGATTTTTGAGTATCTTATTTTTAAGTATCCATTTCATTGAGCTATTTTATGTATCTGGGAATAGGAGCCCACTTACATAGGCCGAGTTGCAAAACTCAGTTGATAGGCCGTATTTTGTAAGTAAATTAACAACAATTGTTATACAAGTAAACATAATTGAGGAAAAGATTCATTGCCTTGCCAGATGTATTTGTTTTATGTAAACTGTAAATGCAGTCTGCGCTGAGGTTATTCAAGCCAGCAAATCTGGAACAGCTCATCATGTGTTACATGTTCTTAATCAGAGCCAAATACTGAAAGCAAGGAAATGTTTTTTTTAGTTCTCTTGAGAGTTATTTATTTTACCTTCCACCCTACATTGAAATAATAAAGAGAATTTGCATCCTATCCTAAAAGGGAGAGTTCTGTGAAAGTACGTTTGAAGATATAATAGGTTTATGTTGTGAATAAATAACAAGTCTGTTGTATGCAAAACTGAGATTTAAGTCTGTTTTTGTAAATTAGAGAAATGAGAAAAGTATATTACAAGAAAAATGCTTCATCATTTTGTTCAATAGTTTTATGATTATTTGGATACAAAACCACACCCCATTTATTAAAAAGACAAGCTGATGGCAACTCAGCATATGTGTCTGTCAACTCCAAGTTTTATATTAAGTAATGTATGTAAGCTATGATTCTGGTCATATTTTTCAACAGAAAGGCAAATGTCAAAATTTCCTTCATAAAATCTTTTATTACTAAACCTA